TAAACCAATATTTTACAATTTTCTCTGTTATGGATCCAAAGGACAACAATTTCATGCACATACAAGTTCCAAGACCAAATAGAATAATATTCTCTATTTAATATTCCAAGACCAAATAGAATAATATTCTCTATTTAATATTCCAAGACCAAATAAAATAACATTCTCTATTTTATATTTCAAGACCAAATAAAATAACATTCTCTATTATATATTTCAAGACCAAATAAAATAACATTCTCTATTTTATATTTCAAGACCAAATAAAATAACATTTAAGAAATAATTCCTTCATGTCATCCTCCTGCGGTATATTGAACCCTCTACTATAGACCTCTCATGTAAAAAAATCTAGCTATTCTAACTCCTTAACATAATAATAATACTCCAATAAGTAGTTTGTATGTATTTAACATGCTGGAAAAGATGTTTTGAAAATTTTACTTAGCCATGGTATTTTGGTCCTCCTGCGGTATATTGAACCCCCTACTATAGACCTCTCATGTAAAAAAATCTAGCTATTTTAACTCCTTAACATAGTATTAATACTCCAATAAGTAGTTTGTATGTATTTAACATGCTGGAAAAGATGTTTTGAAAATTTTACTTAGCCATGGTATTTTGACCACCCCCCCCCCCTTTGCGGTATATTGAACCCCCTACTATAGACCTCTCATTTCAAAATACAGCTATTCTAACTCCTTAACATAGCAATAATACTCCAATACTTAGTAGTTTGTATGTATTTAACATGATGGAAAAGATGTTTTGAAAATTTTACTTTAATAGCCATGGTATTTTGACCCCCCTGCAGTATATTGAACCCCCTACTATAGACCTCTCATGTCAAAAATTCTAGCTCTTCTAACTCCTTTACATAGTAATAATACTCCAATAAGTAGTTTGTATGTATTTAACATGCTCGAAAAGATGTTTTGAAAATTTTACTTAGCCATGGGATTTTGACCCCCTGCGGTATATTGAACCCCCTACTAAAAACCTCCAATTAAAAAAAATGATAGCCAACAAATTGTAAATTAGATTTTCTGCAATACTTTTTATCAAAAACAGGGGGATTCAATATACCGCAAGGGGGGTTCAAAATACCATATGGGAAAAATGACCCCTGGGTCAAAATACCATGCGGTATAATGACCCGGGGTCATTTTACCGCATGGTATTTTGACCCTTGGTTCACTTTTTAGGGGGTTCAAAATTCCATATGACACCGGGCAAAAATTGTTATGGCATTTAAATGGATAAAACCAGAGGATTCCGAAAATCTAACCAAAATCCCATAACATGACAAGCGAGCTTCCTTAATTCACAAACCCTAGATACAAAAATCTTTGTCAAACATTATGGCACCAAAATTGTGTTTGCTGAACCATTCTTCACTCTACCCAATACGTCAGTCAGGAATTTCAATGTACATTTCTTAAATATCTCTGATATTTCATTATTATACAAAATAGTGCATATTTAGGAAATTTCTTCACAAAATAATAACATTGTTCATATCATATTAACACAAACAAAAGTTTTTGATTCAACACTTCACAAATTAGCTTTCTATGTCATATATTCAGTTTATCAAACCAAAATATATAACTTTATTAGAAGCAGAAAATGTTAAACCAAAAACTCTTCTTCCAAATCCCAGCATTCCATGATTAAAATTAAACTGTTGTTTTAACATCACATCACACAAACAAAAAGTACTTGTCATAAAACAACATTTTACTGTAGCTAATACAAAATTCGAATATCAACACTTTTAAGTAAAAATATTAAACTTTACCATTATTTTGAAATTACACTATTTATAATTTTTAATCGCCTTGTATAAAAATAAAAAAATCTTTTTTTTCTAACCAGATATCATTTTTTCTCTTTTGTTTATTTTGCCTGTACATTGCCATTCAATAATTTGCTCATGCTGTTTTTATATTTTGTGCTTAAACCAACAAAAGAATCTTCCTTATCATGAAAAAATTTAATATCTCGATATATGATACATTTTTTTTTTCTTTTATTAAGCTCATAGCTGCTCCATTTTTATCAGTTTTCTGCCAAAAATAGCATCTTATTTTAATAAACAGCATTTACTCCAGTCTGTGTCTTGTACATTGACAAGAGGTGAGTTTTAAACAATATCAACATCAATAGTTAATAAACTTTGCATCTAAAGTTTAATAATTTAAAATTAATTGGTAAATAAAAGATAGCATTAAAAAGTTTAAATATTTTTTTAGAAAAAATTGGTTAAAATAAGTTAGCATCAAAAGTTTTAAAAATTTAGAATTAATTTGTTTTAAAAGTTTAAGCATTATCATTTTCAAGTAGTATTAAATTCCAAGTTTTATTCAGTATTAAAATAAAGTTTTCACAGAATTATATACACAAATATCACACAATTAACATTATGGTTTTAATCAGCAATCAAAAAAACTTTGTTAAACAAATCACTCACAATTTATTATAATGTCTGCAATCATGCACAAATTTGTCATTTCTTTTTTTCAAATTTTCTTAATTAAAATTGTTAGCTACTGCAAAATGAATTAATACAACAAAACAGCTGTATGTTATGATGTCATCACAAAGTTTAACAATATCCTGTAATGCTGAAGCATGGCTTTCTTTTCTTGTAAGGTATTCCATAATTCTTTGTCTTGCTGGACTTGGTTGTCCATATCGGACACTCATCTCAACAGCTGGTCATAATTATCATCAAAGGTAGCTGCATGCGGCTACTTTCCAGCGAGCGCTGGGTATCATGGAGTTTGTCATTGAACAATTCCCATTTCTCACGAAGTGCCTCAGATCCTTGCGGACTGCTTCTCTTCCAGTATTTGAGGTATTTGGATACAGTTTTTCGCCAGCTTCTAATGCAGCAGTGAACTTAGCGAGACCTTCTTCTTTGTCTGCTAATATATCCTACAGATTAGAAAGTTTTTTATTCAGATTTTTTGAAACAGCAGGAAACAGTCATTTATTTCAACTCAACAAAATAGATTAATCAGGAGCAAAACCTTTAGGCTATACAGTTGAATGTCTCAAAATTAGATCTATGGGAACTTAAATTTTGATATAAATGTACCAGGAAAAAACAAATATTTTCTAACATGAATTAAAGCCAGGAATTTCATATATTTAAAAATGTGAAATAAAATAAGAAATAATTTACAAAATGAAGTGAGAGGAATCTAAAAAAACTTATTCTATGCGACACATTTTATGTACCAGAAAATCTCACAATAAAAGACTGCAGTCAAATTCTTAAGAAAGCCTTCTTACTTAAAACTCACGATAAAAAAATAGATACTAAACCCACCTCAACATTCTGTAGTTTAGCCTGTAGACTGTCTTGGTCATCAGTCAGATCACTACAGTCCTCTAACTGTTGTAGGGATCCTTCTAACCAGTATGTACAGTGTTTATGTTTGTTCAGGTAGTTTGATGCTGTTCAGCATTCTGATCACAATGTTCACATTGTTCCTACAAACAAAAAGTAATTGTACAAATATTAATAGAAAATTAATTAATATGCAACGCATTAGGACAGGACTAATAAAAAAAAAAGAATATTCATTGTAAATGTTTAAGAGATCAGTATAAATAATGTTTTGGTTTCCACTTAGTAGTGTCTCTGTGAAAACTGCATAGAAACTGAAATCAATTCTTAAGGTTCAAAAGTTGTTTTAAACCAACAGTACATACATACATCAAGATATCATTTAAGGTTTTTAAATAAATTAAATTTGTTAAAACAAATTAGAATAAATTATAAATTTCTGCAAGATACAACTGGTTACAAGTATTTTTTTCCATTAATCTAAAATGTTTTCATAACATACATGATTGTTACAATAAATATACTTACATTAACATTATTGGCCAGTGTCTCATATCTGGACAAAAGCTGAGTAGCATATGTAGCTGTTCTATCATCACCAGTGGTGTTAGAGATCTCTGAGGCCTCATTACGTAAGGCTTCAAATTGGGGTCTGTGTCTCTGTATATCTTCATACAAGTCCTGAAAGATATATTAGTAAGAATTAAATTAACATGGTGTAAAACAAATAAAGTAACAATACAGTGTGTTTTACTGTTATTATAATTGCAATTGTCCGACATTTTGTCTTTTCAACGGTCTTGAACCTACTGTTTTAAATGTTATTAGTTTTTTTTTCTTGTTAACATTTTGTGTGCATCTAACATCAAATAAGCTCCTTTCCTATTCATTATTCTAGTCAAGAATTAAAATTATTGCAAACTTTTCTATTTGATTGGAAAATTATGAATGTCTCTGTTATATAAATTTTATTTCATTAGTTTCACTAACCAAATCTAAATTTCCCATTAAAAAATACACTCTATGCCTCTCTGAATCCATATAAAAAAGAAATAAACAAAACTTAGATGACTTTATACATACACTGAAGTGTTCAGCTTGTTGAGTTTTGCCTTAAGCAGGTCAGATTTGAGATTGCCTTCATTTCTGATTTTGTCTTCCATATCTTTGATTCATTGAGAAAGTCGTTCATACTTATTATCATACTCCATCAACTGATCAACAGATCCTTCCAGTTTATTCCTAAAAATCACATCAATAAAGTCAATAAGAGTTAAGGAAATAGTGTATTCATTGCATTCATACATGAAATTATCCAGAGATTGTATACAAATCTTTCAGGTCTGAATATTTAGCATCATCAGCAATTATCAGTTTTAAAATGCATAAGTGATAAATTTAAAATACTTTTTTCCATTAATGACTCAGTTTTCAGGATTGAAAATTTCCCAGAAGGGTTGAAAACAGTTATTTTTATAACTCAGATGGTAGAAATTCACTTGTCAAATTGAGAATAAAAAACAACTAGTATTAGGCAATCTATTTTGCACTTAAGGTCTAACATTCAAACACTTTGAGGGATAGTGTATTCATCAAAAAAAAAAAAATCAATTTCAAAACCTACAAAAATATCTGAAATATCTTACTGTGTTTGCTGTAGTTGTTTGACTAAGTCCTGGAATTCTTTGTCAGCTTGTTTCCTCTGTCTCTCTAATTCAGTTTGTCTCTCTCTGGGTAAGACAGCCTTCAGAGAGTCTAACTTGGCTGCTGCTAGATTTTTCTTTTGTCCTCCATCTTTCAAACCAGCTATCAAGTCCTGTTCAAACAGTAAAATTCATGAATTAAATTTACATTCTGTTAATAGGATTTCACACAAACAACTTCATAATGTTTATCAAATTTTGAGTCCTCAATGTTCTTTAACTTCTTACTTTATTTGGCTACTTTAAGTTGATCTTCACTGATGGGTTTTATGTAGACAAAATGTGTGTCTGGTGTACAAAATCTAAATCCTGGTATCCATGAGTTTATTTGCAATAATAACACATCTCCTTATTTTCATATTGGTTCCATAAAAAAAAACACTGGAGTAGAAGTAATAAAGATTAATGTCTTTCCAAAATAATCACAAAAAAATGAATTAAACAACAGTCATAGATACAATACTTTGAAAGACTGAAGATTTTACATCTTACAAGTTTGAAATTTAGAAAACTAACCTTGATAGTGGCTAATTTTCCCTCTACACTGTATCTATCCCCAGGGATGTCTCCGCACCATGCTAACTTCTCTTTAGCTGCTTTAAGCCATCTCTGCTCCTGAAGCTGGGCATCCTGACAGTGTTGTTCTAGAGTGCTCTCAAGCGTGTCAGCTACCTTATCTCCACGGTTGACAACAGTGTCAAACTTCTTGCAAAGCACGAGAGCATCCTTGGCAAGGTTACTGGTTTCTGCAGATGGATATTTATTCTGTAGAGCAGTTTTGTCTTGTAGGGCTTTGATATTTTTTTCATGTTCTTCAAGTTCTTTTTGAAGTTCCTGTAAATAGACAGATGTACGTAAACTTTGTCAATTGTTGCAAAACCTTTATAATGCTCTTCTACTAAGTACTTTATTTTGCCTTTTAATCTTATTTGATTCAAGCATCACTGATTTCTTTGTACATGAAATGCCTGTCTACAGTGGAAGAATTTAATCCTAGTTTCTAATTTCATCAAGGTTCATCTGGAATCAAAAAGATAGTCTAAAAGATAAATCAAAATAGCTTGTGTTTTTTAAAAAGTTCTAAAAATTTCCATGGTAACATAGAAGTACAATCAATCTTCTTGGTATTTATCAATCCTACCCTCCTTTGCCCTTAAAATCTTTTCAAAATGAAACTGTCATATTATTTGAATTTATTTTCTGTTTGCTTTATTTATTGAACTCTCCATCACTCTCACCTGGTGAAGATTATACAAGTCTTTGGCTTCCTCCAACGAGGAACATTTAGGAAGTTCAGTAGCACAGTATCTTTGAGCTTTCTCCATCCATGGTTACAGCTGCTGGGACAAGTTCTGGTACATCTGCCAGTGAGCTACACTTCCTGTCAGAGCAGAACTTCTATCCTTAGCTCTGGAACATAGGTTCTCCCACTGACGTCTGACACTGGCCAGTTTTGTTTTGAGAGCTGATGTCTCCCTCGATCTTAAGTTTTGTGACAAGCCCCTAGCATCTTTTTCCAAATTATCTAAGGTTACCCTGTTTTCGTATACTTCTCTGGAAATATCCTGAAAAGCAAGAATACAAATTATGAAAAAGTAAAATAACTACTATTAAGAGTAATGGTAATTAAATGGGTCAACCAAATCAGTGTTATCAGGATGGTATACAAATTTATGTTATTGTATTTTAACTGTATTCTTAAAGTTTATAACATTTCTTTAAAGATATGCTAAACAAGCCAGTGTTCCAGCTAGGTCGTTTTTACAGGGCGGTCCGCCCGCCCTTTCCCGAGTGCCGCCCTGTGCCCTTTTTACAGTTTGCAGGGCGCCCTGCCTTTTTTGAAGATCGATTGGTATATTATTTTGTTCGTATTGATATGATCAGCCAATTACAAAAATTTACCTGGCGACAAGTATATGACTTTGTTTACGACCCCAAGTTAATCAACGGTTACAACAGGTGTCATAATCTGTTGATATAGGTAATCCGTTTATCGGATGGGTCATTTAATGATCATCAACATTAATTCATTCAAATAGAATCGGTCAGTCGGCATTTGTCTTTGAACTTGAAGAAATGTTCATACAACTTGGGCACAATTAGCAATGTTTACCGTAGTTTCATGGAGAAAACGTAATTGACAGAAAGTCGAAAACCATAATCAACTCGTTAAAAACATTGCTCTTATTGTTTCCGTGAAATAAATAGCAAATTAAGACGTATTTTTCATTGACTGCCTTCATTTTTTATACGAAAATAACAAAATCGGCCGCCATATTGTTGATCGTATTTACATCTTCTACGTACTATTTATTATCCCCCAAAGAAGGAGCACACCCAAATAAAGAAAGATAACTCAATCTTATTTTTCCTAGCATTGAGTAACCTACTAAGATATTATAAAATATGTCTTCATACTTCTGGCTTTAGAATTTATATGTTTAGGTGTTTTCAGTTATGGGAAAAGTTAAAGAGGGTCTTAGTAGCAGGGTTGGTAGGGTGCCTTGGTCATCTTTTTCTGTATTTTTTATTTTCAATCCAAATTTTCACTGTTCACTATATCCTAACATTGTGCATTTACAGCTGTTTTGTGCTGTATTGCCATTAAGCACAGAAAAGGTAGAAAGGTGAAACTTGTAAAGTGTGTCAGACCATAGAAACAGAATGAAGCAGGACATTTTTCAAAAAATACTGCATATAAAGCTTAACTGTGCCAAGCAATGATTTAAAACTTGTGTCACAAGCTGCTTGATAAGTTTTCAGCCAAAAAAGTAGAAAGATAGTTTTTCTCTGGGCTAATGATGTTGTTCTTGTATATTTATAACCAGTGATTCAATGAACAAACAATGTTTGATTATAATCTTTATTAAAACTTGCCCTTTTCATATTATCATATCACGCGTTAAATGCCCTTTTTCAGGATTCGCACCCTGCCCTTTTGAAATCCTAGCTGGAACACTGCAAGCTGTCTTTTGTTAATACATGTAATTCTGTACTTTTATCTATCATGTATAGACACAAATACATAAAAACTTTCTGATATCATATATAAACACAAGTACATAAAAAGACAAAGTTATGTTTGCCAAAAGTTTCTGATTACATTCAAATCAATCATCTAAATAAAACAAGATGATAGTATTAGATAGCTGCATTGTTTAAACTTATTCAATATCATAAAATTCTAAAAATCAAATTTAAAAATTTATCAACATGTTGCAAGATATGAAACTTCTGTGCTCTTCAATCAGTACAACTTATAAAAACAAGCCAAGTTTAACTGGAAAATGATGATAGCTTACAGTTGCTTTGTTCAGCTGCTCTTCAGGCTGAGCCGATTTGTTTTCAAACACATCATTAAGATTTGACTCTTTGGTGTTTAACCATTCACATAAATGATTAACTTCTCTTGTAACATTCAGTCCATTTGGCGATCGTTGCTTCCAGATCTGCCAACTTAGCATTAAGTCTGGTGAATACATTGTCAAGCCTTTTGTCTATTTCAGAGATCTCCACTTTTAACGGTCCATTCCACTGACGACTAGCACCCTCTGCCACGATCGCATTTATTTTTTGCATGTCATTTACACTTTCTTTCAATTTGTCTAATGTTCTTTGAAGTTCCTGTAAAAGAAGGATTGAAAATATTAATGGTCAGATATTTGTTTAAAAAAAAAGTCAATATTGCCAAAAACTATTCTAATCAAAGTGCTAGATAGCACCTCTGGGAAGTTTGCAACTGTAGATGTGTATTATTTCAAATACCGGTAGGTTATAGATGTGTATAATATTTCAAATAGGTTATAGATGTGTATTATTTCAAATAAGTATTTAATCACAGCTTTGATTTTTTTAACTAAAAAGTAAAATCATAAAAATACTGAACTCCGAGGAAAATTTAATCGGAAAGTCCCTAATCACATGGCAAAATCAAATGACAAAACACATCAAAAACGAATGGACAACAACTGTCATATTCCTGACTTTGTACAGGCATTTTCAAATGAAGAAAATGGTGGATTGAACCTGGTTTTATAGCGCTAAACCTCTCACTTGTACGACAGTCTCATCAAATTCCGTTATATTTACAACCATTTTCTTTTCAGCAATTTTCAAAAATCCCTTTTTTCATATGTTTGTCATATAAAATTTTGATATTTTCTATTGCAACCTTAAACTGTTGTTCTAAAACATTCAAATATACAGAAAGCTCTATTTATTTCTTTATGTGCCCATGTCATATCTAAGGCCTGTGATTTTATAGTATATCTTTTTCCATTTGTAACTGGGCATAATTAACCCTACCCATAACAGTAAAATGATGGCATCAAAATTCAAACATGATCATGGTTTTGTCGGTAAAAGTATTGTGTACAAGTTTCGTAACATTTGATAGAGGCACACTAAATATAGAGCACGGTATTGAAAAAAAATTGTAAGTGTTCCGTCACCAGGAACCTGGTGTCTCGCCTACTTTGGCTGTCAATCGCAGGCTCAACAAAAATGGGGAAAAAATTAACGAAAATATTCCTCTATATACTATCTTTTGATTGTAAGAAGATTTTGTCCAAATTTGGTAAAAATCCAGGATAGTTTATGAATCTAATAAATGTTTCCAAAAAATTTAACTGCAGACTGTATGTAATGTTACAGCTGATTTCAATGAGTATGTAGCTAAAGGCAATATCATTGGTTAGCTTGCTTGCTAGCTGAACCATGAAGTCATTGTTAGGTAATGTATACTACCCTCCTTTCGAAATATCCTAGTCCTACAGTCAGATAGATTGGTTATCTGCCAGACTAGTCTACGCTTAAAGGAGGGTAGTTTACCTAACACAACAATGACTTCACAGTTCAGCTAGCAAGCAAGCTAACCAAAGATATTGCCTTTAGCTACATACTCATAGAAATTGGATGTAACTGGAAGAAAAGCCAAGTCCATTAATCATGTTAATAAGTAAATTACAGAAAAACAAGAACAAAATGTTAACTAAATTTCCTTTTAAATACTAACTTTTGATCATAAGCAAGCTTCTGTCCAAATTTGGTACAAATCCACGATATTTTAAGAAAGTTATTAAAATGTTAACCACAGAATGAATGTAATGTTTTCTGGCAGTAAAATACTGAAAAAATGGATTTTTTTTTACAAAATTTACTTGAGGATACTATCCTATGATCATAAACAAGCTTCTGTCCAAGTTAAGTAGAAATCCAGGATAGTTTAAGAGAGTTATTAAAATTTCAAAAACTTCAACCACAGAGTTAATATTTGTGGGCGCCGCCGCCAATGCCATTGGCAAAAATCAGCAATTTTTAAATTTGTAAAGGGGCATAACTCTAGAACAGTAAAACTGACACCACCAAAAATCAAATTTGATCAGTGTTTTGTGATATTGCATGAGCATTGTGTGTGAGTTTCATAACATTTGGTTGAGATAAATCAAAGTTATGAGATCGTAAACAAAAAATTCAAGTAACTGTTCCATTTGTTAAGAAGCATAACTCTAGAATTGTAAAATTGATGCCACCAAAATTCAACTTGACCTGTTTTTTGTGGTAATATCACTCATATTCACTAGGAATTTCTTTGTATGGAGCGCAGTAGGGTCAAAATGCGGAAATGAGTATAGTGTTATTCAAAATCAATTTCTCACTATGCTCCAAGTGCATCAATGAAGGATTGTAGGTAGACCTTAGGATTATATCAATGATGTTTAAATTAATTTTTTTTTTTTTGCAGAAATACTTTACTATACATTATTGCTGTTTACAGTTTATCTCTATCTATACTAATATTCAAGATAATAACCAAAAGATGCAAAATTTTCTTACGATTACCAATTCAGGGGCAGCTACCCAACAACGGGTTGCCTGAATGGTCTAAAAATTTCAAGGCAGATAGATCTTGACCTAATGAACAATTTTATCCCTGTCAGATTTGTTCTAAATTCTTTGGTTTCAGAGATATGAGCCAAAAACTGCATATTTTTACTCTATGTACTATTTTTAGCCATGTCGGCCATCTTGTCATCAGACACAATTTTTAAACTGGATACCCTAATGATGTTTATGGACAAGTTTGGTTAAATTGGCTTAGTAGTTTCAGAGGAGCAGATTTTTGTAAAAGATTACAAAAATTTACAAAAATTGTTAAAAATTGACTATAAAGGGCAATAACTCCTGAAGGGGTCAACTGACCATTTTGGTCATGTTAACTTATTTGTAGATCTTACTTTGCTGAACATTATTGTTGTTTACAGTTTATCTCTATCTATAATAGTATTTAAGATAATAACCCAAAACAGCAAAATTTCCTTAAAATTACCAATTCAGGGGCATCAACCTAACAACGGGTTAATCAATGAAGGATTGTGATGGCAGCAACACTCAATCCGGCATCGACCATTTCAAGAACTTTCTGACGGTAACTTTCAGGGAGGCCTGGTTGACGCCCAATGAAATTTGTTCTAATGTTTGTGTTTTTCTTACCAATGGTGTGTCTATGAACGTAAGTGAAAAATAATTTTCAAATTTCGTTTTAAAAATTCAGGAACAGAAGGTAAAACATCAATTACATGTGGAAAGCTTAAAAGGCACGAAATCAGTCACCCAGAAAAAAAGTACGACTGTTTAAAATTACAGGTAGATCTTAGGATTATATCAATGATGTTTAAATTAATTTTTTTTTTTGCAGAAACAACAAAAAAAATTTGAAAAAAGTGTAGCTAAACTTTTTTTCTCAGTATTAAGTACTTACCCGGCCACATCCACTTGTATTTTTGTCCATCTGATGAGTTAAGCCTTTTTATAGTTCGTTCTTATGTTGTACTGTTATACCACTGTCCCAGGTTAGGGGAGGGTTGGGATCCCGCTAACATATTTAACCCCGCCACGTTATGTAAGTATGTGCCTGTCCCAAGTCAGGAGCCTGTAATTTAGTGTTTGTCGTTTGTTTATGTGTTACATATTTGTTTTTTGTTCATTTTTTATATAAATAAGGCCTTTAGTTTCCTCGTTTGAATTGTTTTACATTGCCATTTCGGGGCCTTTTATAGCTGACTATGCGGTATGGGCTTTGCTCATTGTTGAAGACCGTACGGTTACCTATAGTTGTTAATTTCTGTGTCATTTTGGTCTCTTGTGAAGAGTTGTCTCATTGGTAATCATACCACATCTTCTTTTTCATATTTACAGAAGAAAAAGGGTAAAACTTAATACAGTGGTGACATTACAATAGCAGTATGACGACAGGAATAATAAACTGCTTTGCTGAGCGCAGCTGGGTACGCCCCGCAGAGGTCCAACCCTGAACAGTTGGGGCAAAAATGGACACAATATTTAAGCTTGATACAGGTCTGAATTTGGATTGTATTAAATATTTGACATATTATAGGTTTCTGAATAAATGTAGTCAAAGAACTTGAAATTGGTTATATGAATATATATATAATTAGATTCAATTAAAGATTTCTTGCTGTTAAATTGTGCAATACACTGTTCTGTTGCGCAATACTTAGTAAATCTGTTGTCAGACTATAAACAATTAAAGTTCAATTAATTTTCAATGTCATATTAGAAATTTATGAAAATGTAAAGGGAGCTTACATCAATAAATATAAACAATTCACCAAAGTTTCATAAAAAACTGCTGAAAGCATTTTTGATTTTTTGTCCGAATACTGGAAAATCCCCCTTTTTTTATGAATAAATCCCTGTAACTCGGAAACGTAAAATCTAAAATATATAAAAATCGAAAAGGAGCTCATGTCAATAGATATAAACAATTCACCAGAATTTCTTTCAAGTTGGTGAAAGCATTCTTGAGTTATTGTCCGAAAACTGGAAAATCCCCCTTTTTTTAATGAATAAAACCCCATAACTCGGAAACATAAAATCTAAAATTTATAAAAAACGAAAGGGAGCTCACGTCAATAGATATTAACAATTTACCAAAGTTTTATGCAAATTGGTTAAAGCGTTTTTGAGTTAATGTCCGACATGTTGCGGACGGACGGACAGACAGACGGACGGACGGACAGAGGTATACCATAATACGTCCCGTAAACGGGCGTATAAAAGGTTTATATACACTAGATTCATAGAGGTGCGTTAAACCATGTAACACATTTTATAGTTGATGCTGTGAAATTTAGAATTGAGGCAAAAATTAAATTAAAGTGTAAGGAAAGAAAGTTCTGGATCTGCCACTGCATGGTTAAGTACTTAGAGTAAGAAAGTCATTTTGCACATGGACAGATTTTATTTAATCATGTTAATAATTGCTATAGCACTTGTCTTGATACACTGAGTTATTCTATGTAAAAGCTGACTTGTCTACCTTATCCTTGTAACGATTTGTGTATAAATGTAATTGATAATCGTAACACTGAGTAGGCTGTGATACGTACGAACTGTCGTTGAGTCAATGTTTTTCAGCTGTCAGTTTCATCCACGTAACTGTGAGCATCATGGACGAGTGAAGGTCCTTAAATCCACACTGAAATGTAAAATAGCTGGTATTTAAATAGCGAAATTTAAAAGTTTTCAAATGTTTTTGACAAAAACAATTCACTCCTGAACTTTTCTATCAGGATCAGGCACTTTTCTATCAAAACAGGTATTTACTTCCACTCGTCCTTGGCATGAGACATTAGTCATCATGATAATTATCGATTATTCTATATTCTATCACCTGTGTATTGTTCAATCAAACCATTATCACTTGTCAATTATCCAACGGACAAAATATCAACTTGTTCTCGTTTACCAGATTCTTTCGATACTCTCGGGCTTTTACTTATTCAATAATAAACAGTTGTAAATATCGTAAATAGTAAAAATAGTGCGGTAAAATGTTCATTCATGAAATATTCATGAATGAAACGCGTAGATTTCTTTTGATTTTCTCTTCAGGGCATGGCACATCGGAGGTAGTGTTTGTGATACTCATTTACAAAATGAAGTTAAATTCACCTGAATTGTCAGTGAACATTCATTCCTTTTTTATTCAAGCTGTAATTTTTTCAAAAGGACTCAATATTTCAAAAGCATCTTCCTAGAATCAGTATTCAAACACTGTCAATGTATATTTGTTCCACCTAACAGAAGTTCCATTGGAATCTTTGTTATAAACAGAGGTTCCATTGGAATCTTTGTTATAAACAATGTCATAATATCTGTTCCTGTTGGAACAAGTATTCTATATCATTTATTCTGTTAGGAACATTTACTGTAATATTTATTCCAGTGGAAATAATATTACAGAATATTGTTTCCATTTGGAACTTATATTATGAACTAGTACTACATTATCTTGGAGCAGAACATTTTGCGATAGTCCGTCACTTCCGGTTTGAGGCCGACGCCTTAAGGAAAGTATTGCTATAGCAAACTTCCCAAATATATTGCTGAATATAAGTTAATATATTCATGATGCTTATATATATATTTCTGTTTTCTGGGAAACACAGATTCTAAGAAAAAACAATTGGAAAACCAGACTTAGATACTGAATAACCTTTTTTTGTTTTTTCACTTGTTTTTATATAAATAACAGTATAATATTCTTGAATATCATTAAAAGCTAATCACAATGCAAGTGATAAAACAATTTATGATTTGTAAACAAGATTTTTGGAAAACTTTCAAAGTTAGGGAGATTTACTTCCCTTCCAGTACAAAGAAATATCTTTGATAAATATCTATAAATATGTTCCTAATGTGCATTATCATTTGATGTTTATCTTAGAACATTTGCAGACAACTGATACATGAAAAACATCAACTAGAGGCTCTAAAGAGCTTGTGTCGCTCACCTTGGTCTTTGTGCATATTAAACACAGGACACTGATGGATGCTTGACAAAATTGTGTTTTGGTGATGGTGTGTGCAGATCTTACTTTACCAAACATTCTTGCTGCTTACATTTATCTCTATCTATAATGAACTTGGCCCTGTAGTTACAGTGGAAAATATTTTGTAATATTTTACAAAATTTATGAAAATTGTTAAGAATTGACTATAAAGGGCAATATCTCCTTATGGGGTCAATTGACCATTTTGATCATGTTGACTTATTTTTAGGTCTTTCTTTACTATACATTATTGCTGTTTACAGTTTATCTCTATCTATACTAATATTCAAGATAATAACCAAAAGATGCAAAATTTTCTTACGATTACCAATTCAGGGGCAGCTACCCAACAACAGGTTGCCTGAATGGTCTAAAAATTTCAAGGCAGATAGCTCTTGACCTAATGAACAATTTTATCCCTGTCAGATTTGTTCTAAATTCTTTGGTTTCAGAGATATGAGCCAAAAACTGCATTTTACTCTATGTACTATTTTTAACCATGTCGGCCATCTTGTCATCAGACACAATTTTTAAACTGGATACCCTAATGATGTTTATGGACAAGTTTGGTTAAATTGGCTTAGTAGTTTCAGAGGAGAAGATTTTTGTAAAAGATTACAAAAATTTACTAAATTGTTAAAAATTGACTATAAAGGGCAATAACTCCTGAAGGGTCAACTGACCATTTTGGTCATGTTAACTTATTTGTAGATCTTACTTTGCTGAACATTATTGTTGTTTACAGTTTATCTCTATCTATAATAGTATTTAAGATAATAACCCAAAACAGCAAAATTTCCTTAAAATTACCAATTCAGGGGCATCAACCTAACAATGGGTTGTCTGATTCATCTGAAAATTTCAGGACAGATAAGATCTTGACATGATAAACAATTTAACCGTTGTCAGATTTTCTCTAAATGCTTTGGTTTCAGAGATATATGCCAAAATCTACATTTTACCCCTATGTTCTATTTATAGCCATGGCGGCCATCTTGGTTGGTTGGCCGGGTGGCCGGACACATTTTTTAAAGTAGATACCCCAATGATGATTGTGCCCAAGTTTGGTTAAATTTGGCCCTGTAGTTACAGTGGAAAATATTTTGTAATATTTTACAAAATTTATGAAAATTGTTAAGAATTGACTATAAAGGGCAATATCTCCTTATGGGGTCAATTGACCATTTTGATCATGTTGACTTATTTTTAGGTCTTTCTTTACTATACATTATTGCTGTTTACAGTTTATCTCTATCTATACTAATATTCAAGATAATAACCAAAAGATGCAAAATTTTCTTACGATTACCAATTCAGGGGCAGCTACCCAACAACAGGTTGCCTAAATGGTCTAAAAATTTCAAGGCAGATAGATCTTGACCTAATGAACAATTTTATCCCTGTCAGATTTGTTCTAAATTCTTTGGTTTCAGAGATATGAGCCAAAAACTGCATTTTACTCTATGTACTATTTTTAACCATGTCGGCCATCTTGTCATCAGACACAATTTTTAAACTGGATACCCTAATGATGTTTATGGACAAGTTTGGTTAAATTGGCTTAGTAGTTTCAGAGGAGAAGATTTTTGTAAAAGATTACAAAAATTTACTAAATTGTTAAAAATTGACTATAAAGGGCAATAACTCCTGAAGGGTCAACTGACCATTTTGGTCATGTTAACTTATTTGTAGATCTTACTTTGCTGAACATTATTGTTGTTTACAGTTTATCTCTATCTATAATAGTATTTAAGATAATAACCCAAAACAGCAAAATTTCCTTAAAATTACCAATTCAGGGGCATCAACCTAACAATGGGTTGTCTGATTCATCTGAAAATTTCAGGACAGATAAGATCTTGACATGATAAACAATTTAACCGTTGTCAGATTTTCTCTAAATGCTTTGGTTTCAGAGATATATGCCAAAATCTACATTTTACCCCTATGTTCTATTTATAGCCATGGCGGCCATCTTGGTTGGTTGGCCGGGTGGCCGGACACATTTTTTAAAGTAGATACCCCAATGATGATTGTGCCCAAGTTTGGTTAAATTTGGCCTGGTAGTTTCAGAGGAGAAGATTTTTGTAAAAGTTAACAACGACGCCGGAAGACGACAACGGACGACGAACGACGGACGCCAAGTGATGAGAAAAGCTCACTTGGCCTTTCTGGCCAGGTGAGCTAAAAAAATCAAAAAAAATATTTTTTTCTGCATCTTTACTTATATTCTACTTACTCTTTTAGATTGTAGATCTTTCTCTGCTAATTCATGTCCTGAAGTTGCAGGTGGTTTTTCAAGTTCAGCTTCTGCTTTCTCGAGTAACTGTATACAGTCTGATTTTGATTTTTCATAATTTTCCCATTCTTTTACTTTTTGCTAAAACATCAAAAACACATTTAAATACCTGGATAATCATAAAAACTTATCTTCCATAATTACAAGCAAATAATTTTAAGCTTCAGTCTTGGTAATTCTGGATATCATAAATTGCATTATATCTTTTTTTTCAAATTGGTAAACATAAAATCCCAAGATGCAATAAAAAAATTCTTTGCAATGTCATATCATCTTTGGCATCAGAAACAAAACACGGGTTTATGTATCGACATGTGGTTGGATTTCCAGTGCCTAAGTTATGTTAGCTCAATCAGGTAGGTTTAAAATTGTATTATTCAATAATCACCTCTTAACCTCATTAACTCATACTTTCAATTCAGAATCATTTTCTATTTATATCAAATTACAGAAATGATTTATGAGGTAAAAAGCAATCAACAATGTTTCAAGGATCATTATATATTTTAACTATCTATATTTCTATTCTGACACTCAAAGTCAACCTTGGGGACTCTGTTAAAGAGAGTACAATAACCCTACCATAAAGCATCAGTTTGTATTTATCAAAAACATACTACTGACACTTATTGCTGAGCAGAGAAGATTGCTAAACTTGTTTCTTTTTTGACTTATAAACCAATAATTCAATTTTGACTAACAAACTTAGAATTCTATTTTGACTAACAGACCAATTATTCTATTTTGACTAACAGACTAATAATGCAATTTTGACTAACAGACCAATAATCATATTTTGATTAACAAACCAATAATTGAGATGGAAATCAACCAAATGCAAGAAATACCAGTCAGTTTTACTACTCTTCTGTTTTCGAATAAACCATACTCCATGACCCCCCTTTTTCAGATTTCTCCTAGTCTTATAATCTTCCATCATATCATTTTACGCCTATATAAAGTACCTACCTTTAATTTCACTTGTTTCTGTTTTGCTTTTTCATTTGTATCTTTCAATTTTCTGTCCAATTCCTCCACTGTTTTTGAAACAAATGCAGGAGCATTCCTATCTTTCTTGAGACGTCTTCCAGCGTCAATATCAGCCTGAATCCTAGCACCTTCAGTATCTAGTTTCTTTAACATGCTCTGAAACAAGATTCAGCATTGTTATGGTACAAATACAAGCTGTAAATGGACAGTGAATTCCAAAAATAGAATTGTTGTGACTTTTTCTATAAATTAGTGTTGGTGGCATATCAAAATTTTGAAATAAATTCACTTAATTAAGGACACAAACATTAGATTAGTATACACAAATATGACTGTTATGTTGCAAATTTAAAAAGTATACAACAGGAAATGTCTTAAATACATTTTTTTTTAGATTTTTACTGTAAATAAGTGATGGTGGCATTTTGAACATTTTGTAATAAATTCACAAAAACAGTAGAAAATCATATCTCAAATTTTTAGATGTTTGGAGAAAAAAATTCTAAACATAGATGATAATATGTTTTAATTTCCTATGTAATAAAATTGCAAGCACAAACATATATGAATTAACTAATTTTCAACATGCTTTGAACTGATATTATTCTAATTATGCATCTTTCACTTGCTAAAAAAATCTTTAAAAGACCTTTTTTCTAAAAATGTTGCTTTTTTTCTAAAATAATTTTCAACACTTTAAAATGATTAAAGGATTAATGAGTTAGCCGAGTTTGAGAAACTTTGTTGAATTACTAAAAGCGAGAAACACACTTAGCAAGGAGAGTATAGGAAGGGAATTGTGAAAGAAAATCGTCACCATATGTATACTAACATCACCCTAAAACACAAAATGTACATGCATTACCATGTGTTCGTATTAAACTGAAGCTATATATCAAAACTAAAATTTTATACACTTTTATCCTTTCAAACTAGAACACTGAAAATTTTATTTAAAGCTTTTTTTGGAAAACAAATAGAACTTGCAGTTTCAGACTTTTAATCTATTTGTAAGGCATTAAAATTTATTCTTTACATCAAAACATCTATCATCATTTTTCTTACAAAGAAATCCCAACATATACTCTTGAACTTTCAGACATAAATCTAAAAAAAATTGGCTTCTACATTGAAATTAAATAATTTCCTAAAAACTATTGCAGCTAACCTACGCAGCCATGAGCAGCTTAATCATAACAATTTTTAAACACTGAAAAATCTCAAGACATTTTAGTATCACAAACAACAAGCAAAGATGACACACCATTTTTAGAAAATTAAACATCACATCAAACACAACAGACTCCTTCCTACCTCATGTTCACAGAGAAAAGCTCAAGCATCTTCTAAACCATCTATAAAAGGATCCTCATTCACAAGTCTCTGAGCTTCATCTAACCAGTCAGAGCGCTTGTGGAGTTCATCCCTGAAGTCGTAGGCCTTTGAGAAAACAGCAGATTTATCTGTTACACTCACATGCCAGGCTGAATAGACACGAATTGACCCATTAGATCCCGTAACTTTCTTCTCTCTTCATCAGCATCTGTCTCAGGAGAGTCCTTTAGAAGTTCCTCTAAGTTGTCTTCTAACCATTGGCCATCTTCTGTAAGTTTATTCATGACCCGTAATTATAAAAAAAATTAATAATTTACAATTTTAAAACATATATTTCCTTGACTTATTTTAACATATGTTTCAATTTAAAATTAATTTCACTTTTGATTAAATAAAATTCTCATTAAGAGTTAAGCTACCAAAAGTGAAGAGATTTATCTTTGCAATTACATGGTGAAAGAAAGTTGCAAGAGTTATCTCTCTTTGATCAGTCATAACACTTGCCTGGTATTTATTTTGTAAGTCGTTGTATTCCTCACTCGTGAGATCCTCTTGTTGTAAGGCTTTCATCAGATCATCCACAGTCTGAACTGCCTTTTTGACAAATGCACTTCAGTAGCCAAAAATTCCTCAGCATTTTGTAACCACTCTGATATTCTGTCTACTCCAAGCTGGTATTCTTGTCTACACTTTCCTATAACTTCTACTTTCTTATAATGTTGATATCCTTCTACTAATTCTGTAAATCTACTGTTAATCATATTAACGTTTTGTTAAATTTCTTCTGCAATATAGGTTCTTGACAATTTTCTATCAAAAAGTTTACAGATTCGTTTAAAATTTTTTTTAAAAGAAAGTCTTTCTTCGTACTGTGGAATATCGGTAAAATATTCCTCAATTTGTTCTTTGTTCCACCATGCATGACTTGTTCTCCTTCTGTGATCCATGCAATTACCATATTGTAACATCCACTATATCTTTTCCACTGCTCTAATCCCTCATCAAACATTGATTGTAAAGATTTAATTTCAGCGGACATTGTTTTCCATTTTTGTGTTTTTTCATCAGCAAATTGTGTAATCTGTGCAGCTTCTTCTTTTGCTGTAAACAAAAAAACAAAAAAAAATCATTTCAACTTTTGGATTCTTAACAAAAATTAGTGATAAAAGTTCTTTAGGTAGTATCGAAGATGCTCACTGCACCCGAACATCTCTATAATTTTGTTTTATCTTTATTATATATACTGAAATAATTTCATTGTCAGTCACTTATTTGAGACATCTGTATTGTATACTTTTGTGATTGATATAAGTCGTCATGAGAAAGATGAAAGTCATAGAACCTAAAGGGTTTTTTGTTGTTGTTTTTTTTTACAGTTGAACAGAGTAAATCAAGAAAATAACTACAAATACTTGAATGTAATTGGATTGTTCAAATTTTGATCTTTGGTTTATACTACTGTATCCCATGCTACCAAAACATCTTTTGTAACCCATGTAAACAATTTGTTCAATTCCCTGTGATATATTCATTTGGGGTACACATAGATAAAAATCTTGATGTCCCAAGAAGTTTAAATACAAAAAAAATAACAAATGTTTGGGTTGAGAAATACATGTATATGGATTTAACACATTTTTTTCTAGAGATCATTTAGAAGAAATTTTAGAATTCTCAAAGGTGACCTCAAATTAATACTCAACAATTTCATGTTTGCTGTTAAAATACTTACAGACATGTTTTCTGAAAGCATCACCTCTCTTTTTCGTCTCTCTGAGCATCTTGTCATAGTTTGCAAATAAATTATTGGTCTGTACAAAGTCCTACAAAAATCAAATGTAAAACATATAACAGCCTTTTAATTCAACCTTCTCAATTTTGGTAAATCACATAAGTAAGACTTTCAGAGAGGATGTTACATTTACTACTGGTGATAACAATCATACATTTATCTATTTTTTCTTTTTTTTTTTCTTTAAAACCCAAAAAATATTTGGTACTACTATTCCAACAAAACAGGCCTAGGTCAAAATCTATAAATGGTTTTAACGTTTTAACTGATTTATTCTGCGCTCTTTAAACTTTAAAGTAAAATACATCCATTTATTATTTCTTTATTCAGATCAGAGGTTATATAAGCAAGATGACCTTTACCTTGTAATCCAGAACCCTCTCATCTACGTCTTCTTGTGTGCCTAACTTTGACAACCACATCTTCACTTTTTCCTCCGTAGCGGCACTGAATCCAGCAAGTCTAAATCAGAATTCGTCATACTGTAGTAGATTCTCACGCTTTGGTGCTTCTTTACACACGACTTGTAGCCTAGTGTGTAAATTGTCCATTTGTGGTGGTGGGATGAATTCGCCTTCATATTTTCCTGCACGTTTCACTTGTAAAAAAAACTTTTTGTACGAGTCCATTTCTTTGAGAAAGTCCTAAAATTGGTAAAAGTATATGTTCATCTAAAAATTCTACAGCAGTGTTCAGTATAACAAATCTTCTCTGATCTTTATTTTAAGATATTTTTTTCATCATATTATTGTTAATATTTTACACATTCTTTTATCATTTAGCTATTGAAACTTGCCACTTCTTAAAATGTTCAACAGTTCATTTCATGTGTTTTGGTCATTTACTCCAAAGCAACTATAAAAATGAATTATCAACTAATAGGACAGTGCTTTCCCTTATGAGATATGACAGTCTTCAATAAAAAATAATGTTATTCCAATATCCAATTTTCTGGTCATAACGATAGGCCAATGATAAATATTTTGTTAATTTTAATGAAAACTCAACAAATACATCAAATAATAATTCTGCAATAGACTGTTATATAGCAAGAGCCTGTCTTCTTTAAGGTAACCTATAAACATACCTTGTGTTCATTTAATAGTTTAAGAAGTTGATCTGCTATTTCTATATGGTCTTACTGGTTTTCAGGTTCAATCTCTAACATTTCCTCTGCTTGATTTAACCAATCACCAAACTTTCTGGGATGACCTAGTAGATTAGCATCAAGTTTCCATAACCACATACAAGTACGTCTAGCAATGTCTTGCCATTTGGGTTCTTATTCCTGCCACATTTTGGGAGTAATTTTAACGGCTTTTTTGCTCACTACTTTCTCTTCTAACCTCTGGAATATTTTTTGTCGTCTGTCAAATTCTGTTTTAAATGATAAGTAATCCTGAAATAAAAGAATTTACTGGATTAACAACTCTGGATTGAACTTTCTCACAAATACTCATTTTCAAGGATACTTTATGAAGCTCCTTTTCAATCTAATGTTCTTGATGTATATATGTATAAATAAAAGACAAAAGTGTTATGCATTCAAAAAAATTTGTTTTGCTAGTTAAATTTGTGAAAATAAAATTGTAAGAGAAAATTATTTGATTTATAGTATAAATCATAAGGAGTCACTTTTTATCAAAGAAAATTATGTCAAAGCAAACAGGGGACTTTGTTCTAGAATCAATCATGTCTTTTTGAAGCATACATATCAAAACTACATCAACTTTACATCTCAAATGGAAAGAATTTCAGCAATGACTGCATGTATACAAATACTTATTTAATGCACTTGGTATTTATAGTGGTTCGATACTAAGTTTGTCAATTGCTTATTGAACTTTGGTTTGTCTCCCCTTATCTGTACTTTATAAAGCCATTGATATTTTCAACATATAAAAGAAATTACTACAAATGATGTATTCAATCCACATAATGCAGAATGTCTCACAGAGTTACTAACATAAACAAAGGACCAAATCGAAATCTTCATGCATTTACGAAACAAATTAGTTTTGATTGGTATTGTAAGATTTGCATGGATGACAAGACTATGTAACCACTTTCAAGCAGATGTTCAATTTCTGGAAAACCTTACCATATATTCAGCCTGACTGTCTGTCACTGGTTGGTCTACAATCTGTAGAACCTCATCAGTTTCCTCTTTAATCCAGGTGAGCAGATCATTGTAATCAGATATCTCTTGTTTTGCTGGGTTTTTCCTTTTGGATAGCTAAAAAACAATATGTTTTTCAATTAATTAGACTATTAAATTGTTCAAACAGTTTTAAAATATATCTACTGTTTATACCTTTTATACTACTGTAATTCTTTACAAAAAGAATCAAAGGCACGTAAGTCGCAATATTTTTTTTTTATCATTTAAAGAAATTTTCTTTGTAATATGTGAAATGTGTTGCAGGATATTACAGAGAGACTTGATTATGCAATTCCAGTTCATGACATATGAAATAATACATTTGTACTCAAAAAGTTTAAAATTTTGTGCTTTTATTTTGAAAGGCAATCTATCAATTTTTAATTTCGGGTGTAAAATATCACACTAGTCTCTAAATTAATAGTACTTACACTAGGTCCTCACCAGCCTCTAGGTAGGCCTTTAAGAAGTGTGCAACGTAAGTCATGACTGATTTCTCGTCAGGCTTCTCAACATCAACGTCTGAAATAATACATCATAAATTTTCAATTGAATTACCCAAACATGGGTTAAATAATCGCAGTATAGAGGTCCAGTTCAAAACCAACTGGTAAATGAAAAGGAAATATCAAGTATATATGTAAACGTTCTGGGAAATCAAAAGAAAGTGAATTGTTTTCTCTTGAATAAATCTTTAAAAAGTATCAAAACCCAATGTAAACAAAAGAGTCTATATATTTGAATTTAAGATGTTTTGTGGCCACTGTCACTATAAACAAATTGTGAATAGTTTAATATTTTCTAAATTTGTTCAATATAATAAAGAAGATGTGGTATGATTGTCAATGAGACAACTCTCCAGAAGAGACCAAAATTACACAGTAATTAACAATTATAGGTAACCGTACGGTCTTCAACAATGAGAAAAGCCCATACCGCATGTATGGGCTTTGCTCATTGTTGAAGAAAAGAATTAAATGTGCATAACTTAAAATGTTACACCCATTTTCTGAAAGATGTTAATTTTTTTTTTCATATCAAAATCATATTTCGTTTATATAAAGTGTACTAAGGTACATTCTTTGGGTGCAATCAACAGTTTTTTTCTATGACGTCATATTTTGAGGGACCATGCATAAGTGACCCTTAGTGGTGGAATGGTTAATAAAGATACTTGTATAAAACTAGATATCACTGGAATCAGAATTTTCTCTAGTTTATAATGAAATAAAAATAAAGTGTACTTTTAATATGATAAAAAAGTTCTTTTCAGAGAACATGGGGGGAAAATTGCCTAATCTGAACATAAAAAACCTGAAATCAGGTCATGTGCATACCCATGTAGACATGATACAGGCACATTTCACATAATCAAAACTGTATGAAATTCATAGGTTTTTAACTGGCCTTTCAAAAAAATCTCCCTTCAGGGTACGGTTTCCTGCTTCGAAAAGAGCTACAGTGGCTGCCAATAAGTTTTCAATTTCCACTGCCAAAAAAACAGGATGTTTACAATGTTGTCTCCCCTCAAAACATGTATATTTAATCTAATTTTTAAAAGTATTTTAATCATTCAACCTGTTTTAATTGAAAGCTAATTAACTAATTTTTACAATCAAATACAAAAAACATGATACTTTTTCACCAATTAAGTAAATAAAAATTTGTAAGGGTTCCGCGGAACCCAGTGTCTCGCCTACTTTTGCTGTTAATCGCAGGCTCAACAAAAATGAGGAAAAAAAATCAATAAAAATATTCCTTTAGATACTATCTTTTGATTGTAAGAAGCTTCTGTCAAAGTTTGGTATAAATCCAGGATAGTTTATGAATCTAATAAATGTTTTAAAAACTTTAACTGCAGACTGTATTTAATGTTAACTGGAAGAAAAACTAAGTCCATTTATTAGTAAAATATGGATAAACAGGTACAAATTTTAACAAAATTTCCTTCTAGATACTAGCTTTTGATCATAAACAAGCTTCTGTCCAAATTTGATACAAATCCAGGATAGTTTAAGAAAGTTATTAAAATTTTTAAAACTTTAACCAGAGTGAAAATATTTTTTCCTGGCAGAAAAACTAAGTCCATTTATAAGTAAAATACGGAAAAAATAAATTTTTTTTTAACAAATTTACTTCTGGATACTATCTTATGATCATAAACAAGCTTCTGTCCAAGTTTGGTACAAATCCTGGACAGTTTAAGAAAGTTATTAAAATTTTAAAAACTTTAACCACAGAGTGAATGTATTGTTTCCTGGCAGAAAAACTAAGTCCATTTATAAGTAAAATACGGAAAAAATGAAATTTTTTTTTCAACAAATTTACTTCTGGATACTATCTTATGATCATAAACAAGCTTCTGTCCGAGTATGGTACAAATCCAGGATAATTTAAGAAAGTTATTAAAATTTTAAAAACTTTAACCACAGAGTGAATGTAATGTTTCCTGGCAGAAAAACTAAGTCCATTTACAAGTAAAATACGGAAAAACAGGAATTTTATTTTTACAAAATTTACTTCTGGATACTATCTTATGATCATAAACAAGCTTCTGTCCGAGTATGGTACAAATCCAGGATAATTTAAGAAAGTTATTAAAATTTTAAAAACTTTAACCACAGAGTGAATGTAATGTTTCCTGGCAGAAAAACTAAGTCCATTTACAAGTAAAATACGGAAAAACAGGAATTTTATTTTTACAAAATTTACTTCTGGATACAATCTTATGATCATAAACAAGCTTCTGTCCAAGTTTGGTAGAAATCCAGGATAGTTTAAGAAAGTTATTAAAATTTCAAAAACTTTAACCACAGAGTGAATATTTGTGGACGCCGCCGACGACGACGACGACACCGACGGAATGTAGGATCGCTATGTCTCGCTTTTTCGACTAAAGTCGAAGGCTCGACAAAAAGGGATTTCCCTCCAAGGTTATTTTTAGTCGGGGAATAACCCCTAGTTTTTTATACGAAACTGTTTATAGCACCCTTTGCAAATCATCAGAATTTTGATTTGAAATGCCACTTTACACAAATATAGAAAACAGATAAAAACACATATCGTACATGTTTCATTTCACTAGTTTGGATTTTTATTTGGACAACAAGTGGACCTCTGTTGTATATGTTTTTGTTTATCATCTTAGTTACCTTTATTTACCTTTTTTTCAAAATATTAAGTGACAATTTCACTGAAGATTTTTTATTTGCATAACCTTCAAGCCCATTACTTAGTTTATGCCTTTGCACCCCTATCCTAAAAAAACATGAAAATATAATTGGCATTCAATCCAATGCTAATAGCATATATTAGAAATATGAATCCAATCGGCCATACAAAAGTTACTGAACTTTATTTTCAAACTCACATTTAGGAGCATGCCTTACCATCTAATCAAGCAGCCACAAAAAAACCAATGACGTAAATTAACTGTCAGACCAGCAATTTGGCACATTTATCCTACTTGTTGTACATTACTTATTTTTTTTTTGCTTTTCTGTTAATCTTAACTCTACTATACTACACCAACCGTCATACAATAATGAATTTAATTAACCTTCAACAGCTCCTGTAAGGATATGTCTTAGAACCTCTTTCCTAGCAGCCCAAACACACATTTAATAGTATGCCATTGTACCCAAACATGGCACATTCTTAACTGGAACTAACATGTGAGGCCATGTTTAAGCACAGCAGCCAATCTGTTGTGACTTTCACTAACCTATGTGTCCACATTTTAGTGCACGCCTAAGTACCTTTACCCTTACTGCCTTATAATACTAATCTTCAGGGTCAAGTTGTCTTGCGATACAAAGTTGTGACTCTGCATCTGAGAATGTCTGCTCTAGATTAGTTCTAGCATCCTGTTTCCTGCACTGATCGAAATCCACTAAGTCAGGGTTGATTGTATGTACCATGGCATTGAATGCAAGACCATCTCACCAACTTTTACTGAAATTATTAACTTCTATACCATATTTTCTGTAAAAAACAATTTGTATATAACAAATGCGTCGACTAAATATTTTTTCAAATGTATCTCTTAAATGTGGTCTTTACAATATAAAGTACTTATTGAAAATTTCAATTGACCAAAATGTTAGAAGAAGCTTCAACAAATTAAAATAATGTTTATTAGATCACACTGTGGATTTGTTATCATTTCAAATATCAGGAATATAGATTGACCACAAATTTAAAAATTTAATTAATTTCCAACTCCACATAAACTTAAATTGTGAAACAACAAAATCAAATTATTGTGAAAAAAACATGTTTAAAATTCTCAATCTACAAAAATTGGTACCCACAAAAATAAATGAATCCACAGTAGTACTTTTAACTTCTACTCTGCTTAGGATCTTATAGGTTTGCAATCAATATAAACTGTGGCATCACAGCTTAAATATCATATGGGAATGTAACCATTTTGAAGCATGAGCCACCATTAATATCCAAAGTAAGAAAAAGGTAACAGACTGAGTTGAAATAAAATTATGAATAATACTTTTGAAAACTAACCCGAATTGTTTCAGTTTTATCATATCAAAAATAAATAAAAGAACTGAAAGAAAAATTTGTAAGCCTTATCAAAAGCCAAAAAAATCAAATGACATATGACAGTTTCAAGAAAAAGAAAGATCTCCCCTGCTTCAAGTGCAATGTTCTTGATAGTTGGTTGTTGTTTTCTTCCCATCATGGATGTATTACACTTCTTTCATATGTTAAAACTTTGGAAATCGTCATTCTAGTCTCATGTGAGAGCTTTACAGCCAATTGCAATGAGTGTGTAGGTAAAGGTTATATCTTTGGTTAGCTTACTTGTTAGCTGAACTGTGAAGTCATTATTAGGTAAGGTAAACTACCCTCCTTTCAAAGTAGTCTAGTTCTACAGACAGATAGATTGGTTATCTGGTGGACTAGTCTACTCTTAAAGGTAGTTTACCTTACCTAATAATGACTTCACTGTTCAGCTAGCAAGCAAGCTAACCAAAGATATCACCTACACACAATGTAATCGGCTGTAATTCCTATCTTTCCATTCAGAATCTTACTTTGTAATAGCATTGGCTGTCCAGGCTAATAAAGCTTTCTATGCATTCTTTCGGAACATATCTATAGCTGACAGCGATTCCTGTTCGCCAGTTTCATCATTTTGTGCAAATGTGTCTTCAATCTGTTGAAAAAAATTGTTAATGCACAATAGGTTGATGATCATTCAATGTTTAGAGCTAATTTCCTTATGTTTGTAGAGTAAAACTTTGGTTGGCTTGTTTGTTTTGTTTGTAAAAATATTTAGTCAAGCTTTTCAAACAATATATATGTAAGTAAGTTTAAACCTGTGTATATCATAGTTAAACCTGTGTATATTTTATTCAAATTTGATTGGTTGTAATCCCAATTACAATTGTACAATGTTCAAACAGAGCAAGCAAGCTAACCAAAGTCTTGTTCTATATGCATTCGGAAATTAGCTCTAAAACAAAAAGTGAATTTCTTTTAATACAGCAAACTTTAATATCGATGTCAATAAATAGTTGACACAGCACTGGTTTCTGACACAGAATGAATGTGGTCTAATGAACTTAAAATTTTTTTTTTTACTTTTGAGCAATTCACTATGCTGTTGAATATTAATCCCCTCAAAAAAAATAATTTGAAGAAGTTTTCTTTTTAATTTCTGAAATCTGAAATGAGAAAAAATTGTAACCCCCTTCTCCAAATTGTTTTCACCTCCCCTTTGCCTTATTCCAAAAAATAATCTCAATTCAAATTTCTAATGGAGTTTAAAGGTTATCTTACCAATGTTGTAATTAGATCTTTGAATATAGTTTACATTGGCACTAATATCGATTTTGTCATCAGCAAATTAAAACATAACTAAATTTGTATTTTTTTCAAGTGGGATGTATAAAGACACACCCACGTTCGTTTAGATCTATAAAGAGGTTAAACTCCTAACTATCCTACTGTCTGTCGATACATTTATTTTTGGCATTGCACTAGTCATGTCTTCTTTGACTGTCCATGACGTTAAAATACTAAATCCCTGGGATGTGTTTTAGTTGATTTTAGTCTCTGATGCATGATTTTTTATTATTAATTGTTTTGGCTTTTAACTAGCTGTCAGTAACTGCGAGTACTCTCAAATCGTACTTTCTTGTTTATTTGACCTGTTGATACTAATTGTATTGCTTTTTTGTTATTTAATGTTATTCAGGGTTATATCTGGTCTATATACCAGCTTTGATAAGTGTTTGGTATAACTATAAATTTTCACTTCGTACTATGAACATCAACATTATTTATTTTGTAATAATATTTTTCCTTTCTCTATTGGTACTGTACACGTATACCTAACAACAAAATTATTTTCATTTACCTGTGTTTAAAGTTATTGCAAATGAATGGTATTTTTGTTCGAGCATATTGTTTTTCTTTAATTGTTTAACATTTCTTACCGATATAACATGTTACTTTTATTATTCTTCCCTTAGTTTATTTATTTTGTATTCAAAATTATATATTTTGTAAAAATATTTCCTTTCTCTATTGGTACTGTACAGGTATACCTAACAACAAAATTATTTTCATTTACCTGTGTTTAAAATTATTGCAAATGGATGGTATTTTTGTTTGAGCATATTGTTTTTCTTTAATTGTTTAATATTTCTTACCGATATAACATGTTACTTTTATTATTCTTCCCTTAGTTTATTTATTTTGTATTTACATTGTGTCATAGGTCAAATTTATTTGTTCAGTGTATGTTTAATGGTGTTAATATGTCCTTTGATTGAGTTAAGCTATTTCAGTTGATATTTTATAGTGTGTCTTTCTATGTTGTGATGTTACACTATTGTTTCAGAAAAAGGGTGAAGGTTTGGTACCATTAAAACGTTTAAACCCGCTGCATTTGTTTGCACCTGTCCTAAGTCAGGAATCTGATGTTCAGTAGTTGTCGTTTGTTGATGTGGTTCATAAGTGTTTCTCGTTTCTCGTTTTTTATATAGATTAGACCGTTGGTTTTCCCGTTTGAATGGTTTTACACTAGTAATTTTTTGGGGCCCTTTATAGCTTACTGTTCGGTGTGAGCCAAGGCTCCGTGTTGAAGACTGTACTGTGACCTATAATGGTTTACTTTTATAAATTTTGACTTGGATGGAGAGTTGTCTCATTGGCACTCATACCACATCTTCTTATATCTATTTGCAACAATAACTACTCATTTAAATACATAAAATTTTAAAATATAAAATGACATTCAGTCATGGTTAAAATTAATATTAATTAATAGTAACTTCTAAAAATAAATTTACAGCTAATCATGCTAAATGATTTGAGCCATAACCCGCCCATAACCATCCCTTTGTAGTAATGAAACTTGTAGTATAATTTCAGAGAGATCTATACACTTAAACACAAGTTATTGACTAGAAACTATAAAAAAGCTTATTTGGGCCCCTTTTTTGGCCCCTTATTCCTAAACCTTTGGGACCATAACCCCCTGAATCAATCCAAACCTTCCTTTTGTGGTATTGAACCTTCTTATCAAATTTCATAGAGATCCATTCATTTGAACTAAAGTTATTGTCCGGACACCAAATGTCTCTTCGGACCACGCAGACGACGACGCAGACGATGACGACAACATCATACAATTATACAATCTAAAATATTTTTTTGCGGTCGTATCAAAATTATGCATATGTTTTTTATAACTAAATGGATAGCTTTCATTATAAAATTATGTACATATACTTTTTTCTGAAGAAAATTCTTTAATTTGTCTACATTTAGAAGAAGTTTACTTTATTTCAATTGCTTGCTTCCAGGAAGCAATTTGCCGACATATTTTCGTATATGCAAGTGACCTTAACATGACCCTTTTCGTAAAAATCTGGTGATCGCAATACGCATGGATCTGTCATTAAAATAAACTATTATCTGATTGTACATGCTATACACGTGCTCAATATCAATGCTTTTCTGTTGATAGTTTACTATAAGGTAACAATCGGTAAACTTCGGCTTCAAAACACGGCAATTAATGAGCTACCATATTTGTTAGATCATAACAGACAGAGAGAAAAAAAAATTGACGATTAAACGATATCTTTGAGTAAAAAATGATAAAATTGTGCACAGAAGACTAAGTTTATGATATATACATGCATTGGTTCAAGAATTGGATAAACATTATTTTCTCACCAATCACTCGTTTCATATGACTTTAAATTTGAGAATGTAATCATTTCAATGTTTAGTGAACCGTGGAATAGGCCTAATACCATAGTAATTTCACATCATGTGGCCTTATTTTCATGTTGATAAGACCACAATTTCATTGTAAACAACCTAAAAATCTATTTGGACTGACAGACAAACAGACCATACAACATAATATCCATTAGTTGAATGATTACAATCATAAGTCGGGTTTAAAAATAACATGTAATTGGAATTAGAAGAAATGATTTTTTTTACAATTTATTGTTGGCTTTGCTTGTGAAAAGTTAAAAAACTTAATTTTGGTATATATTCTTAGTAGACAATGTGTTCAAAGGGAAATAACTCACCATAACCATAAAGCATCTATTTTCTATACAAGTCCCAGTACAACAAATGATTCCTGACAAGATAATAAAGGCTCCTGTTCCTAGTAGCAAGTATGTTGCCAAAGGGAAAGTACTGCTCCCTAGCAGACTGATATAGGTATGCTTCTGGAACTTGATATATAACCCTAATGCTAGGAAAGCTAACCGGGCTGTCAGCTGGAAAAGAAATATAGAATTTATCATGCATAAAAACACTATTGAATTTTAAAGAACATTTAATTAATTGACAGAACATGATAAAGAAAAGTTAGGAAACGGAGTATTTTTGTAATTTGTAGTTAGCTATCAATGTTAGCTGAAAAATTAGAAATAATTTTATATTAGGATCTTTTATCTTGTTAGCATGGTTAGATGATAAAATATATTTTGTAGATGGAAAATGTAATGTGTGTGCTCTTTTAAAGATGTTCTGCAATATAATGATGTGTACTTTTTCTGAATATTTTGATAGAATTTTCCCATGCTCCTTTAATCTAATGAAGCCCTATCACTGGTATTATAAGATTAAAATGTCATATCAGAAAATCATATGTTACATATTTACTAGACATAAATAAATGTTTTATTTTGACATTTCTGTCATGCCTGTTAAAATTTAAATGGGCAATTCTCTGAATGTCAATCTGTTTCGAAAAAACTTGGATTTAGGAAACCACAGATTCTGAGTAACAGAAGGCTGCATGCATAATGAACTATATATCAGTTCTTATTCAGAATCAGAATGCAAGTTCTTATTATTGTGATACCCCCAGGTACATAATTCGCATGTACGACCATGCATGACCCTCATGGATAACCAGGGTCAGTAAAACTAGAGGCTCTCAAGAGCCTGTGTCGCTCACCTGTATTTATTGATGCTTTGGAAATCATGTAAAATAAGGTTAAAATCATAATAAATATTATAATGATATCTAAGATAATAACAAAAAACTGCAAAATTTTTGTAAAATTACTAACTCAGGGGCAGCAACCCAACAACTGGTTGTCGGATTCGTCTAAAAATTTCAGGGCAGATAAATCTAAATCTGATGAACATTTTTGCCACCTGTCAGATTTGCTCTAAATGCTTAAGTTTCAGAGATATAAACCAAAAACTGCATTTTACCCCTTTGTTCTATTTTTAACCAAGTCGGCCATGATGGTTGGACGGCGGGGTCATCGGACAAATTTTTTTAAACTAAATACCCTAATAATGATTATGGCCAAGTATGGTTAAATTCATTTGTCTCAGTAGTTTCAGAGAAGATTTTTGTAAAAGATTACAAAAATTTACAAAAAATTGTTAAAAATTGACTATTTAGGGCAATAACTCCTAAAGGGGTCGACTGACAATTTTGGTCATGACAACTTATTTGTAGATCTTACTTTGCTGAACATTATTGCTGTTTACGGTTTATCTCTATCTATAATAATATTCAAGATAATAACCAAAAACTGCAAAATTTCCTTAAAATTACCAATTAAGGGGCAGCAACCTAACAACAGGATGTCAGATTTGTCTGAAAATTTCAGGGCAGATAGATCTTGACCTGATAATCAGTTTTATCCTGTCAGATTTACTCTAAATGCTTTGGTTTCAGAGATATAAGCCAAAATCTACATTTTACCCCTATGTTCTATTTTTAGCCATGGAGGCCATCTTGGTTGGTTGGCGGGGTCATCAGACACATTTTTTAAACTAGATACCCTAGTGATGATTGTGGCCAAGTTTGGTTAAATTTGGCCCAGTGGTTTCAGAGGAGAATATTTTTGTAAAAAGCTAATGACGACGACGACGGACAACGGACGACAGACGACAGACGCCAAGTGATAAGAAAAGCTCACTTGGCCCTTCGGGCCAGGTGAGCTAAAAAACCATGTCATCCACAATATAAAAACCATACAATAATTTCTGTATTAACAGTATTTGAAATGTTATACAACAGTTTAACCAGGTAGTTAAAATCTAAACCCTGAGGCTTTTAGATATAATCCAAATTGACTTTGATACTTTAGTGTTGATATTTAAATGTCTTCTTACTTTTTGTGTCATTAAGTTGCTGTCTCGTTGATATATTATACCCCTTATTTATTCATCTTTTTATCATGGTAAGCACAGGTATTTAGGTCATGTTCAATTAATTAAAGAACTTATATGTATGGGCTTTGCTCATTGTTGAAGGTCGTAAGGTGACTAGTAGCTGTTAATTTCTGTGTCATTTGGTCTCTTGTGGCTTGTTGTCTCATTGGCAATCGTACCACATCTTCTTTTTCATATTATGCAAGATAATGCTGGGTTTCCCCTTTGATTTGTTCAAATCTTCAAATATTAATGTAAACATAAAGTAACCAGATGCTCCACAGGGCGCAGCTTTATACGACCGCAGAGGTCGAACCCTGAACAGTTGGGTGCAAGTATGGACACAACATTCAAGCTCTGAATTTGGATTGTGATTAAATAGTTGACACAGCATAGGTTTCTGGTGGTCTAATGAACTTAAAAAATGTAATTGCTTTTGAGCAATACACTATGCTGTTGAATATTAATCCCCTAAAAAAAAAATATTTGAAGAAATCTGAAATGAGAAAAATTTTCACCTCCTTTTGTCCCTTATTCCAAAAATATACTCAATTCAGATTTCTAATGGAATTTTAAAAATAACTGCTCATTTGATACATCATAAAATATTACAATATAAAATGACATAGTCATGATTAAAATTAATATTAATGAATAGTATTACTTCTAATAAAAAAATTACAGCTAATCATTTCAAGACAATCATCATTTCATAATACATAATTTTCAAACAGTGTAAGGGAGGTAATCAAACATATATATAACAGTATTCTTTTAATTTGAATTGGATTACCTCCCTTACACTGCTTTTAAATTGTCTAAATTGTCCTTTAACCAGAAAAACCCTCGTTTTCCCCCCTTTTTTGCCCCTAATTGGTAAATGATTCAAGCCATTATCCCCAATAACCACCCCTTGGAAGTATGGAAGCTTGTGGTATAATTTCAGAGAGATTTATACACTTAAACACAAGTTATTGACTGTAAACTACAACCATATTGTCTGGAAACTAGAAAAATGCTTGTTTTTGGCCCTTTTATGGCCCCTAATTCTTGCATGAATTGGACAATAACGCCCAAACTCAATCCAAGCCTTCCTTTAGTGATATGGAACTTTGTGGTACAATCTCAGAGATATCTATACACTTACACACAAGTTATTGTCCAGAAACTACAAAAATGCTTGTTTTTGGCCCCTTAATTCTTAACTGTTGACACCATAGACCGTAAAATGAATCCATACCTTTTACTTGTGGTATTTAACATTGTGGAACAATTTCAGTGCAATTGAAATACTTATACACAAGTTATTATCCTGAAAGTAGAAAAATGCTTGTTTTGGGACCCTTTTGGGGCCCTTTTGGGACCCTAATCCCTAAACCGGTGGGACCATCAACCCCAAAATCAATCCCAACCTTTCTTTTGTGGTATTGAACCTTCTTTTTAAGTTCAAAGAGATCCATTCATGTAAACTAAAGTTATTGTCTGGAAACCAAATGTGTCATCAGACATCATACCATTATTTAATTCAATTCAATATTTTATTAGAAAGAGCACAATAGAGGCGTGATCCAAATACAGACAATAATAATATTAAAACAACATTTAAAAGAAATATAGATGCATGTAACAACAAGTCATAAGTAAATTCTATGGATACCATACCATTTTAAGTATATTCTATGATTACCATTACATTCTAAACTCATATTGATACCTTACACATATACAGCACAATTATATTCTAAATTTTCATAATTTTACTTAAAACACACAATCACCTATATAAGATATATGTGTATTTGCACAAACTACTATAATGGATTATTATTTGATGAAACAGTATGGTGGTCTCTCAAATCAAGAGCTTCTTCAATATACATACAAATAGATTTTAGTTCTTTTTCAGACATAGGATTTAACATTTTGGTAAAATTTTCATCCAAATTATTTGAATTAATATCATTAATTTTATATTTAGATCTAATTTTGTTATATTGAGGACATTAAATCAAGAAATGTATCACATTTTCAATTTTTCCTGTGCAAAATTTACAAAATCTCTCATTAGAGGGTATTATTGGTCTTGCATACCTTCCAGTTTCTATTGCTAATGAGTGTGCACTTATTCTTAATTTAGTGAGTTTTTTTCTAAGATATTTAGGAACATTAAAGTTCAAATATTCTTGTTGTTTAAATTTAGTAGTATAAATTTTACTAAAAAATAAAAGTTTACCACAGTTTCCATCTTTTATCTTAGATAGTTCAAATATAATTTTATTTTTGTAGAAATCTTCTAGTTTCTGTTACTATAGGGTATTCCAATATATTTTAATAATTCAGATAATTTATTAGACCAAGAGTTTTCTCTACTTGTGAGAGTTTTGTCCACTTCAAAAGCAGCTTGAGAATTTCATATGGACCACCAGACTGTTCACCAATATCACTGAGACGCACATAGTATTTATACATAAGTTGATAACATTTAATGCTAATAGGTAATGTGCCCAATTCGCACTGCACTGCTAGATTGGAAGACTTTCCATGAACCCTAAGTATGTTTTTAAATATGGAGTTTTGTGTTTTTTCTAATTTACTTTTATCTAATGCGTCAAAATTTGGTTTGAATTCTGATATCCATACTTCTAATCCATAAGTTAAAATAGGAATTATCATTGAATTCAAAAGCTGGAGCCAAGTTTTAACTGACAAGTTTTCACTATATGGGAGTTTAGACTTTAACGCAAAATACGCTTTTTTAGCTTTATCTGAGAGGCTTGACACTGCCTCTATAAATTTTCCAGAGCTATGAAAATCAACTCCTAAGTATTTATAACAATCAACGATTTCAATTGCATTAGAACTATAATAAAAGTAAAAGTTTTCTTTATTAACTTTATTTTTAGAGAAAATTATAATTTTTGTTTTCTTGAAGCTCACATCCAGTTTCCATTCAGCACTATATTTTTGCAAAGAATGAAGAGAGTTCTGGAGACCAGCTGCAGATTCAGATATTAATAATAAATCATCAGCATACAATAAATGGTTCACTTTTTGATCATGTAAATTAATTGCACTAGTTGAGTTTGTATCTAAGTAT